CCCAACATGTGCCCCTATCCCGGACCCAGGTTCAAGGTGGGCAGCCCCCTGGTGCTCCTACAGCACCCTTGGGGCACTGGCTGACATCCCCAAGGCGTTCATCACTCTCAGGTAGAGCTGCCTGTTTAAGGTCCGCATTTCTCAGACCTCTTGAATTCTGCTGGTCCTATTTTCCCCTTTCACCTCCAGGATACCATGTTATTTATCGTACATGTACACATTAGCTATCTCCCTCAATTAGAAGGTATGCTCCTCGGGGTGCCTGGGGGGGGGCGGGGTTCAGTCGGTTGAGCATCAGACTCTTGGTTTCAGCTCAGGTCATGATCTTACGGTTCAGGAGTTCGAGCCCCACGCTGGGCTCCATGCTGGGCTTCTCTCTCTTCCTCTCTCTCTCTCTCTGCCCCTGTCCCGCTTGTGTTTCCATTACCACCCAAAATAAATAAATTAAAAAAAAAAAAAGAAAGAAAGAAAGAAAGTAAGCTCAAGCGTACCATTCGTTTGTTCTGTTCAGTGAAACAGCCAAGAACAGCACCAGGCTGGTCGAAGCAGCTCAGGGGTGCTTGCTGAATAAAAGAGCGAATCATTTCCTTCGCCAGGTTTATCTGCCTCTTGAGAGCAGGACCTGTCTTAACCACAGAACCCAGCATGGTAGACAGACTAACGCGCCCCCACCTCAAAGAGGTCCATGCCCTAATCCCCAGAATTGAAGAATGTTACCTTGCAGGACAAAGGGGACTTTGCAGATGTGATTAAGTTAAGGGCCTTGAGATAGGGAGATTATCCCGGATTATCTGGGAGGACCTAATGTAATCACGAGGGTCCTTATGAGACGGAGGCAGGAGGGCCTGACTGAGCGAAAGCAACGAGGCGAGAAAGCAGAGGCCGGAGCGATGGGGTGTGAGAAGGCTCGCTCTGCCCTTGCTGGCCCTGTAGGTGGAGGAAGGGAGCCTCAGGTCGGGGATGCCGGGGCCTCTCGATGCTGGAGAAGGCAAGAGAGGGAATCCTTCCCAGGAGGAACGCAGCTGTCGAAGCCTTCATTCTGGCCCAGTGAAATCCGTCTTAGACTTCTGACATCCAGAATTATTCGGTAATACATTTGCGCAGTCTGAAGCCACTCACTCGGGGGCCATTTGTCGCAGCAGCAGCCAGAGGAGCGAGGGAACCATGATGCCGCACACGGTGACGAGTGCACCGCAGATGGGCCGTCTGCTAAGCGGATGCTGTACATCGGTACATAAAATGTTAGCTTTCAGTCTCGAACATACATTTTGATCCAGAAAAACAGCAAAGGGGCATTTAAGCCGCGAGCCACAGAGGTGGTGGTGGTGCATCTGTTTTTTCTTTAAGTAACTGACTGACTCAGAGATGCTTATACTAATATTTCCTGTGCTGGCAGGTCTCACCCTTCATCTACTGAAGGCAGTTTTATTAATCAAAGATAAATTTCCTCCTCATAAAACCCTAAATCAAGATTTAACAAAAGGCGGGGGGGGGGGGGGGGAGAAACCAATTTATTTATCGAAAGCTGTCTGGTCTTCACAAATGCAATTAGTTGCACTAAAAGCTCTCGAGCGTCTCCCCGGGCCCGGCTGGTGCGGTACGCATAAGGACTCGTCCTCCTGAACACTTCGAGACACTCGATCCCCGCGAATCTGTTTCTAATGCTGACACTTGAGAAAAAAGATGTGACAGGAAATCGTTGAGGACATGTTTCTGTGTCCAACTGAAAATTTAAACGGTCTGAATTATGGGCGAAGTCTTTTCCATGTCTCATTTAAGAACAAGAAGAAAGCAACCCAAGAAACCATTTTTTCTTAGCTCTTTGCTTCCAATACCCCCAGCCTACCCACCAAGCCTGCCGGTATTTTCAACCCAGAAACTGAAAACCCAAAAAGACTGGAAATTAACCACTTTCAATGATCACTGATTCACTTTCATATAGAAAAGATCCTTTCTGGGGCGCCTGGGTGGCTAGGTCGGTTAGGTGTCCAACTTTGGCTCAGGTCATGATCTCATAGTTCGTGGGTTTGAGCCCCGCATCGGGGTCTGTGCTGACAGCTCAGAGCCTGGAGCCTGCTTCAGATTCTGTGTCTCCCTCTCTTTCAGCCTCTCTCTCTCTCTCTCTCTCTCTCAAAAATAAATAAATGTTAAAAAAAATTGTAAAGAAAACATCGTTTCAATCAACATTAATAAACTGGGAAAAAATAAAATTAGGAACAGAGCATATAACTATTTTTTCACGTGGGAAAGAAATCTTGAGATTTTTAAACCTCCAGAATCCATTCACACACAACCTGGAATGTTTTTGGCCCTGTGGAAGATATGTATAAAGCTGGAAAGCTGAAAAAGATCTCAAAATAAGCTATCCAGTAGCAACTTGAAAACCTTTTTTTCTGCAACACATGCCATGCACTTTACTGACAAGGTGATCTTGCTTTTTCCTTCCCAGTACTGTTCTACGGGATATAATTCAAAAGGTGAAAACCAGAGCTCCCTCCATCCCACTTAACAAACATTTACTGAGCAACTACTACGTGTGTTATTATTTTGGGTTGCAGCAGGACGAAATCCCCAGCACCGAGGTCCCCTGCACGGGGAAGGAAGGGCAATATTTTATGTCAACAGGTATGCCAGAGTCCACACCGCGGTGGTGCAAGCATACTCGTCATGCAGAGGTAATTCCTCTGCTGAAAAATCCTAGACCAGAGTTTCAGAAAAGAAGAAAAATATCACACCAATTTCTCTAATAAAAACAGCCATCTCGACATTTCAATGATAGGATAACTGAGTTCAGAGGGCATTCTTTAACACACTGCAACCCCTTTGCCAAAGGAGGGGGTGTTTGCTGTCCGCTCACCGGTCCATCCGTCCATCCTTCACCCATTAAGTAGCAACAGCCCCAGCCAGCGAGGTCCCAGGCCAGACAGGCAGGATGGTGACGAGGACACACACTCTTGGGGAACATTTCCAAATGCAGCTGCTCCAGACTGTGCAGGACACGGATGCTCCTCCTTGCCCTGAGTTTCCAAAAAACCACAAGATTCTCTAAAGGATGCCACTGTTTTCTGCCACCAAAACACACTGTACCTGTTTACACTGGTCGGACTGGAGGCTTATCTGCCTCATCCCATGTGGTGCTGGCAGCCTGACACCTTGAAGCACATCTAAGCTGTGTCCTGCACTGCCTGCGACGCCCAATACATCACGTCCCAGAGCAGTGGCAAATCACCGTCGGGAGCACCTTCCTATAATCCTCAAAAGAATTTGGCAGGGAAACCGGCAAGACCCTTCCTGAAGCGCCAGGCCCAGCTGAGGACTCCACAGGTCACGGTGCGGAAAACCAGTTTCAGAAAAGCTACAGTAAGACAGTCGGAAGACAGCGACCTAGTAAATACAAAAGGAAGCTAACAGAGTGGTTAGCAACAAGGCGTGCGGGTCTGTTCCCAACCCACCGGCGCCAGGGCCCTGCAGACCGAAACGCCACATCCCACTGCGCGACTTCTGTGCAGGATCTTGTTGAGAGAAACCACACCAACCGAGGAGCGTTTCTGGGATACGCGGTCCACACGTTCACCTAGACATGCTGAGTTTTGTCTGCAGGTCGGGAAAGCCGGAGTCGAACCAGAACGTACTAACTCCACAGAGAATTCTGTCACCTGGGTTTCATGCTTTGCATTGTGGCCTGGGCACACTTGGGGGCACCGGCGTGGAGACAGCTCGGGAAGCGTACTTCCCATGTATCAAAGGGAGGTTGCTGGGGGCACGGCACCCACGGGTCCTCATGTCAGAGCCGCACTAAGAAACATCTTTATTTGTGCCAAGAAAACCCACTCCTTCTACGAAGTTCGTGTTGCCTGTTTCCCGCTTTACCCTTCTACGATTCAGTACCAAATTCACAGTCTAACATGCATACCTCCCATAACACACGCCTCTCCCAGGGCTCTGCTCAAACATCAGCAATCTACCCGACAGTCCTTTCTAAATAGCCCCCAAGCACACTCCTGGGCCCACAGGCCTCCTCCTCCTTTTACTTTCCTCCTCCGCACTTATTCGCCATCTGACACCCTTTGTGTCTCACTCGTTCATGTGTGTCTTACTTTTTTCCCACGAGAGAGTAACCATGTTGATGGCAGGCACTGGTTCTCTCCTGGAACCCCAGGCATGCTGCCCAGTGAGAGGGGGTGTTCACGAAGTACCTCCTGAACGAACGGCTACAGTAACAGTTAACTGCATAAAACTCTACAGTGTGCATTTCACCTTACTCCGTGAACTTGAACTTTGCCCGAGTCTGATGTGTTTACTGTTGTTTTGCTTTTTTTAAGTGCTTGGGTAAGCTGGACTAAATCTTTTGTAAAAAAAAGCAAGAGGCAGTAGAGAGATAGGTACAGACAGAACAAAAGGATGATCTAATTCCCAAACACACTGCATTTTAACAGCTGGTAAGGTCTCTGGGGGTGGAAATGAGCCAAACTGTTTAACTGTCAATTAAGGAGAGTCACCGTGATTCAAAACCGGATGATTTCCTTCCCATTGGCTCAGCCATCGGTCAGGTGATGCTGCATATCTAATACGGCCAGCCCGTGGTCCGTGGCGTCCACGGGGAAGCCCTCCTGGCTTCTCTGCCTGTCCCCACGGTCCCCACTCATTCTACTCGCTGGTGCCTTTGGCACCGAGGGCTGCTTTTCGTGACAGATGTGTCCAAGTGTGTCCACATCTGCTCATTTTCACTCTGGGATTCTCTGAAGAGAAATAAATGAAGTTTCCATAATTTTAAAAACTGTATTATTCCTCTCCCCTAAAACATACCTCCACACACAGAGCTCCTGAAGACACGAGCCCATAATAATCGGAGGCAGAGTAAGAAATGCGTGAGACTGAGCTCTCTCTTTCCAAACCCCACTGTAGGTAAATTAGGCCTTGAAAACCCACGGGGAAGGAGAGAGAGAGGGCATGTGGCGGTGTGAGGGGATGACACTTAAGAGGCAGGGGAGGGTCCTTACCTGTTTCACGACAGTCACTGTCCCTGGAGCCATGGCAACCACTGAGGCCACAGCGGTGGCATCATGGGCCTCGGTGCCCAGCTCGATGATCTGCTGGAGGATGTTCACAGCCGTGGGGTCAAGTCGGTCCCCTTACAAGGAAGAAACAAACAGGACAGCATTAAGCCCAGTGGCACTGGAGGGCACTGAGTGCAAAACCAGACCTTAACAGAGGCCATTCTTGGGTGGTGTCTTCTTCGGGGGAGGCATGGATTCTCAGCAATCGCTCGCTCTAACAACAGAATAATCCGTGTGGTACTTGATAGCTTTAAAGCACTTTCTATAAGAACATCTCAAAACCCCAAACGATCCTGTGGGGAGATGACATTGTGATGAGACACCCACATTTCGTGGATTGGTTACCTCTGCACAAGAAAGACAGGAGACTTGCCTGGGGTCACTGGGTCAGTCACAGCCCAAAGCCAGAGCTGAAGCCCAGATGCTCTGAATCCACACTTGGTGACACAAGCCTGCTTCTCCAAACAGACCCCTGAGAAGTCCCAGCCCGCACAGCAAACCGCAAACAGGGTCCCGTGAGCACACGCACAGCAGGTGGCCAAGAGAGCGTGCCAAATAAATCACACACGCTAGGACAGAACATCCAAGGATGTCTCAATTATTGAAACCGGTGGGCTTCAGAATGCCAAACCAGTTTAAGCTTGGGGTTCTATTTTAATCATCTCAGAAGATTGGAATCCGTACCATCAGGGCAGCTACGGAGTATAGACCCTGCCTGCTCTCACCATCTGCTTGGCCATCTGCGACTCTTCTGAACACGGCACTCTGACCCTGATCGCTAACTCACTAAAAGGGAAATTACCGCATGATCTCTGTGTTAGCATCATGTTACCAAGTCTCCGCGCGCGTCTGCATCCCCGCGGACCCGTTTTCCTTGGGCCACGGCCCAATGTGAGTCCGTCAGTAAGAGACGGAGGAGGGGAATGTGATGTGTGCGATGTGGAGGGCAGGCGCTGGCATGGGACTGGGACGATGACAGCGTTAGCGACTTGTATGTATTCACATTGCACCACCCTGGCGTTCCCCTACACACACACACACACACACACACACACACACACACACACACGCACACACGCACACACGTGTGCATGCAAAGACACCAGCACAGACACACACAGATACACGTGCACACACACTCTCTGCTTAAGGGAAATGTGTCAACTGTGCCTTGCAGCCAGCCAGTCTGAACATCCAAAGACTAAACAAAACATTTACCCGAAAACCTTACTGAGCTAGAGTAAGGTTTAATTCCTCATGCGCTTGCTCCCTCAGTGACCATTTATCAAGCCTGTCACCAGGAGCGTGGCTCCCAGCAGGGAATCGGCCTCCATCTAACACTCTCTCCCCTCCTCCCGGGACTCACGGGCTCCTGAGACAGATTTGTAAGCAAATTATCACCACACCATGTTGGTCGCGTATTGGGAGGCAATCAGGGAACACAGCAGAAACGTCGCATAGGTCCCGAGCAGGCGACATATGATCTGAACACTGAAGGTGCAGGCAGGTGGCCAGAAAAACCATGCAGGGAACAGAGTTCACACAGGGCGGTGCACAGAGGAAGGCCGTGCCTGCACAGCCCATGCAGGACAGCAGGCACAGAGACAGGAGGCAGGCGACACAGGGCAGGGCACCAGGACCCAGAGCAGCCCAGCCTGGCTGCATGGGTGCAAAGTCTGAGCTTTAGTCCAAGTGCCAGGAAGAAACCCCAGAGAGGCTTTAGAAGGGGTATGTGTGTGTGTGTGTGTGTGTGTGTGTGTGTGTGTGTGCGCGCGTGCGTGTATGCGTCAGGGATGACGACAGACAGGCCAAGGCCAGAGCTTGAACAACTGCTGAAGTCACCGAACACGAAGGAAGGAAGCACAGGTTCAGGCCGGGCCTCCGCTCTGGATGCCCCATTTATCAGCCAGGGCCGGGCCACCCTGTCCGCTGTCTCCTGAGTCCCCGCGAGCTCGGCGGCCCAGTGAGCACAGCCCCGAAGCAACAGCCCCAAGGAGTGTTCCGCACAGGCTTCCTACAACCTGCTCTTCAGGGCTTTAAGAACTGGGAAAATATGGCAATTTCCCATCCTGCCTCTACTTAATGCCTTCCTCCGAATGCAAATCGGGCTATGGTTACACATTAACTGGGGTTTGTGTGCTAGACAGGGCGCTAGGAAAACATCTCTAAGCTTCATGCCTCAATCACCACCAGGCTGGCAGAGTGGTTTGAACTTAAAACTGATCTGGCATTTCAGAGTGATGACTGTTGACACAGAAATCCTGCTTCAGGGCTTTTCAGGCGGCTGGGAAGCAGGCAGTGCTGGGCTCGGAGCTCCGCAGGGCGGCCCTGGCGAGGCCGCTGCTGCCCCTGGAGCTGGAACCAGCCCCCTGGGAGACAGGCCCACGAGGCAGCCAAGGATGGGACAGAAACCCAGATGGCAGGCCCAGCTCCAGGGCTCAGCCGGCCACTTACAGCAAAGCCCTCTTCTCACCGTACGTGCGGAGGCCTGGCCGCACGGCCGTCAAGTTCTGCCTCTGCTGAGCTTCCTGGGCTCCTATCAGGGGGCGGAGGCCTCCCAGTCTGACGGCGGGGCCCCCTGCGGTCCAAATGGTGGGCCAAGGATGCTGAAGGGGACCGATTCACGGACACCGCTCCCTCACAGATTCACTCACTCCGCCTGCCTGCTGCAGACCAGCTGGAAGGCAGCTCGAAGGTGCGCAAGGGGACCGAGCGCGCGCTCTCACCGCTCTCGGAAGTGTATCTCAGATCCTGGAGCGCCGCCACGGCTGCCTGCGTGCCCTGAACGTCCTCTTCGGCTTCTGTGATGTGCACGTACTGGGTGGAGGGCTCCTCGGGGGCTTCTGTTGCTGGCTAAACGAAAACAGATCATCTGAGTGATCCAGAAGGCCACCTGTTACTTACCCACAAGCCCCAGGGTAACGTACTGAGACCAAATCAATACGCACGAGGAGCCCCTGTGGCACCTCATGCACCTGGCGTCCCTGAGAAATCCGCTGTTCCAATAAAAACACACTTCCCAAAAAGGAAACTTCTCCTTGCAAATACCAAGACGATTTTATTATTTCATTTTATTTATTTTGTTTTATTTAAGGTTTGTTTATTCTTGAGAGAGAGAGAGAGAGAGAGAGAGAGAGAACGAGCAAGCAGCGGAGGAACAGGGAAGAGAGAACCACAGAATCCGAAGCAGGCTCCCGGCTCTGAGCTGTCAGCACAGTGTCCAACGCAGGGCTCGAAATCATGAACCGTGAGCTCACCACCTGCACAGAAGTCAGACGCTAAACCGACTGAGCCACCCAGGTGACCCACCAAGACGCTGTGAAACCAGCTTTGGTGGAAAGCTTCCTGGTACACACTCTTGCCTTAGGGAACGGAGTGTGCTGTTCGTATTTAGAGATGAGACATGCGCGGAGAGTCTCGTACGTGCCGTTGTCTCCTCCCACTGCTGTCAGGGCTGCCGGAACCTGCCTGGGCCCGGGGCCTTGAGCCATCAGGCTGACGGAAGGAGGGCACAGCAGAGCTGCGGGTGGAAGGAAGCGGGCGGGAAACACCGTAACACGTGCTGGCACCCAGCGCTCAGGGAGCCTCGGCTATTCGGGCCACTCTCATTTTCATATGAAGGATATGATAAACAACAGACCACGGGAAATGTATCTGCAAAATCAGGAGTCGCGAGGGTGGGAGGGGCTGGAGTGACATTCACAGGTACCTTGTGCCCCAAGGAGAGAAGAGGAGGAACAGAATTTCCACAAGAAATCTGCATCAATAATGCTCTCTTTCTGGAAGAGGTGGGGAGTGTGGGTGAGCTAGAAAGAACAAAAGGGAGGACCTCGCACAAAATTTATAGGAACCGAAGTTCCCATGCTCCGTGAGCACTTCGTGGTAACTGATACAGCTCAGAATGCCAGGTGGTTATTCCTTTCCAGGCAAGGGGCCAAGTTCATGTCAGGGTTTCCAGCCTGACCTGTAGCAGACACCCAATAAATATGTGTTGAATGCACAGATGAACAAAATAAAAAAAGCCTACTTCCTTTACCGGTAAGCCACGTGTTGCCTGACAATGGCTGGATCCAAGCAACGTCTTAGCCTGTGAAAAACAGGACCCACGCACGATGGCTTCTTTCTCATGGGGGGAGGGGGGTTCTGCGTCCCAACCACAAGTGGGGAGGACCCGACCAGTGTGGCATAGGCAGCTCGTCACCCCACAGGTAACCCAGCACCTGAGACCGGCTTCTTGGCTGCTCTTCTGTCTTGCTTCTGGAGTCGAGTACGTGGCTTTGTGCCAACGACCTGTGTCGGATTCGACGCTCTGCGTCACGTGTTGGCATCTGCAAGAAGCACGGCCTTTGGAGCAGAGGGCCATGACCACACGTACTTATGGAAGCACTAACTGACCAGGAGACATGGGTTTTAGGTCAAGAAATGGCATTCTGATCCCTATGAACAGAGAGCAAATCCTTGCGGCATGAACTTGAAACACCAGAGGACTATACATTCTCCCCTCGATGAGGATGGGAGGTTGGCCACACATGCCACCACCCCCACCAATAACCACAGTAGCTGCCGAACCCTGGGGGCCTCCCAGGGACCAGATACAGACCTCAGCGTTTTGAATATCTTGTCTTTCAATCCTTTTGACCTGCTGGGTATTACCAGCCTCACTGCATGGATAAGGGCACTGAGGCCACTGAGATCAAGTAAATAACAGTTCACGGTCCAGCCATTTATTTATACGGGATGGCACCAGAGTTCAACATCGTCTGCCAGACTGCAGTGCACACACACCCTACGTGTTCTCACAGGAAATTTCAAACATACACAACAACAGAGGGATGAGCCTTCCGTGCACATGTCACCCAACGTGAATGATCATCAATTCACGACCGGCCTTATCTCCCCTCTGTGCCAACACACTCCACACTCTTCAACTGGATTATTTTGAAGCAAACGCAGGGGTCACAGCATGTTATCTACAAATATTTTAGAACGTATCCCTGGAACACGAAACTCTTTGAAGACATAAGCACAACGCCACTGGGACACTCCAACACCCAATGGTAAGTCCTTAACATGACCACACATCCAGGCCGTGTCCTCACCTCCCCAGTCGCCACATTTCTTAAAACTTACTCTTCAAACCAAATGTGAGTTACTGAATCCGTGGATTAGAACTGACTGACACGTCTCCTAAGACTTCAATTTCTAGGTTCTCCCTCCGTTCCAACTGCCCCCCCCCCCGCCACCACCATTTATAATTCTGTTGGGGGAAGCGGGCCATTTGTCTCCAGACTTTCCAACGGTCTGGACTTCGCTGACCACACCACCATGGAATCCCTGAATGTGCTCTTCTGTCCACCGTGTCTCCTGGCCGTTGGCAGATGTGGAAACTCAATCGGATACCGGTTCCCTTTGGAGCAGGAACGCTTCGAGGGTTGTGTTGTCCGCTTCCCGTAGGAGACACGTGATGCCTGGGTGTCTCTACTGCTTCTGTGATGTCAGTAGGCAGCGGTCGGCCACTTGCTAGATCCGTGACATCACGAGAGGATTGCAAAATGGTCATCTTGTCAATCTTCGTTTGTTAGCTGGAAAATTTATAAATAGGAGCTTCTCCTCATCAAATGTGTGGTTATGCTGAGGTATAGTTTGTTCAGAAAATGGTTAAAATAATTGGACTCTTGGCCTTTACTTACCAAAACAGAATTGATGCCCTAATATCCTATAAGGTGCCTGAGCGTCTGCCCCAGGATCAGTATACGCTGGATGTGCTTCGCTGTAGTTACTAAATACTAGCAAAAACCTCAGAGTAACAGTATCAACCCTCCCCCAACAACAAAATAATTGAAAAGAGTACGTGTTTCTGCAGCTCTTTCCCCTTAGCTTATGCCCCACAAGGGAGGAGCAAACTCCTACCTTAAAAGACTGCTGAATAGTTCCTCTGTGTAGCTATGCCATTGTTTTCATATACAGTTAGAAGCATTTATTTCCCTTTACTCTCAACGTTTAAGGTCTGCATTTTTTTTTTTAATTTTTTTTTTCAACGTTTATTTATTTTTTTGGGGACAGAGAGAGACAGAGCATGAACGAGGGAGGGGCAGAGAGAGAGGGACACACAGAATCGGAAACAGGCTCCAGGCTCCGAGCCATCAGCCCAGAGCCCGACGCGGGGCTCGAACTCCCGGACCGCGAGATCGTGACCTGGCTGAAGTCGGCCGCCTAACCGACTGCGCCACCCAGGCGCCCCAAGGTCTGCATTTTTTAAACGTTATTTTTTTTTTAATATTATATAAAATACATCCACGGTTTCAGAATCAAATCTGCACAAGTGGATGTGCTAAGAGGAATCTGGCTGATTTCTTTACCCTCTCCATCTTGGTGTGTCCCTACCCTTCCACCAAAGATCCCCCTCTTTGTTTTGACTATTTTATTTTGAATTATTTTTGACTTCCAGAAGAGTTCCCATACACCTTTGCCCCAGCCTCCCCTCGCATTAACATCTGAAACAACCACAGGACAATTACCAAAGCCGACAAGTAACACTGGTATGGTAAATACTATGAACCGCAGACTTCAGGCAGTTTTTCTACAAGTTTTCTCCTTGGTGTCCTGGTTCTATCCCAGGACCCAGTGCCGGATCACAGTCTCCTCCGACTGGTGACAGCTCTCCAGTCTCCCCTTGTCTTTCGTGGCCATGATACTTTGAGGAGTACTGGTCAGGTGTATGACCATACACATCAGCAACATCATTTGGATACATGACAGTTGCTCATGATTGGATGGAGGCTGAGGCTTTTCTGAAGAATGAGTGTCCTTCTCATCATCACATCCGGGGGCACACGAGGTCACCATGACTCCTGAGGATGCCAACTTCCGGGTGCATGGTTAGCCCCGGGTCTGCCAGATGCCTCTACTGTGCAGACACTACTTTTCCCTCTGTGATCTAGTAAATACTTGGGGGCAGAGATTCTGAGGCTATGTAGATAGTGTGTTTTTCCTTAAATTGTGTCTACTAGTTGTAGCATTCATGGATGGGTTTGTCTGCAGCAATGATTACTGCAGTGTTCTAAGGGGAATTCTACTTCCCTCATTCCCTCTGCATGTATTGTTCAGAATTCTCCCGTGTGGAAGAAGTGCTCCTTCCCCACCATCCATTTATATCAGTATGGACTCACAGATATTATCTTATCTGTTGGGTTGTAGCACAACGCTACCATTGTTTGCTTTGATATTCAAGTTGTTCCCACTCTGGCCATTGGTGGTCTCTTGTCCTTTGACATGCCTCCACCTTCCTGGGGGGTTGGGAAAGACGCAAGATGCTACTTTCTAGGACCACAAAATACTCTAGGATCAACTTACATATTTTCTGCCTCGGCCCTGGAATCAACCACTTTTCAAAGGACCCTGGAGAATCCTATTTTATTGGAGAATCCTATTAGAAACCAAGATCTAGGTCCCCATGTGCTCACGGCCACGGGGTGCCACTGCTTCTGGGCTCTCTCAGCACAAAAGGCTTCTAAGGAGCACAGGTATGTAAACTAGCTGTGTGTGGGCACATGTCTGGAATCGGCTCTGAATCTATCTGTTGGTGTGTATACAAACACATGCAATCTATTCATTTATCTGGACCTATGATGTGTAACAGGACTGCAATAAACAACCTTGTGCAGACAGACACCTTTTCTCTTTTTTGTCAGTATTACTTTCGGGTAGTTTTCTAGCAGTGGAATTGTTTAGTTAATGGATAAAGAAATGCACACGTGATTTTACTAGATATTGCTAATTTCCCCTCCGTAGAGGTAGTAATATTTTGCATTCCCACCAGCAATGCGTGAGAGTGCATTTTCCCCTCAGCCTCTCCAACAGACAGGATGTCAAATTCTGGATTCTAATAGGTAAGAAATTCTCTCTCCAGTTTTTTTTTTTTTTTTTAAGTTTTTAAAAGTTATTTATTTTGAGAGAGAGAGCGCGAGAGAGCGAGCACAGGAGGAACAGAGAGGGAGGGAAAGAGAGAATATCCCAAGCAGGTTCCACGATGTCAGTACAGAGCCCGACGCAGAGCTCAAACCCACAAACTGTGAGATCATGACCTGAGCCGAAACCAAGAGTCAGACGCTTAACCGACTGAGCTGCCCAGGCGTCCCGTTCCAGTTTTAATTAACATGCCTTATGTGTGAGATTGATCACATTTTCAGATATTGAAGGTCATTTGCATTTCTTTTTCTATGAACCTTTCTTATCTCTTGCCCATTTTCCTACTGGGTTGTTGATCACTATTTTTTAAAAAGATTTCATAATGTAAAAGCACTCATCCTTTTTCTACGGTATGATTGAAAATATTTTCTTTCGTTGTTATCTGTCGGTCTCTTTGCCTTGTTCATGAGTTCTTTTCCATAAGTCTTTTTAAAATTTTTTCATGTGGCCAATTGTTCTTAATCTCTCCCTGTAGTGAATCTGGATTCTGAGGCATAGTTAGGAAAGCCCTCCACACCCTGAACTTACAAATGAATTCATTCACTCAGGTTCTTCTTCCGGTATTCCTAAAATATCACCGTCTTTTTATTTTTTTTTTTTGTTAACGTTTATTTATTATTGAGAGACAGAGAGAGACAGAGCATGAGCAGGGGAGGGGCAGAGAGAGAGGGAGACACAGAATCGGAAGCAGGCTCCAGGCTCCGAGCTGTCAGGACAGAGCCCCACGCAGGGTTAGAACTCACAAACCGTGAGATCATGACCTGAGCCGACGTCGGACGCTTAACCGACTGAGCCATGCAGGCGCCCCAAAATCTCACTGTTTTTACATTTAAATCTCAGATCTTTTTGCTCTTGCCTCTCTCTACATGCAAGCTATTCATTATTTTATGTTTATGGTTCGATCTGATGCTTATTGTGTGCAGTAGTCTTTCATTCACTCTTTTGGATTTTCCAAAAACAGAATCCTGTCATCTTCAGATACAGATAACTTGACTTCTTCTCTTCCAATTCTTAATGTCACCATTTACTTTGTCTTGCCCAACACACTGGCTGATGCATCCCAACTGACGTTAAAGACTTGGTGACCTAAGTCCCAGAGCTTCTGGGACATCCTTGTCTTCTTCCCGATTCAACCAAGAAACCCTCCAGTGTTTCCTCACCAAGTAAGAAGACACCGGCTTTGGGACTGAGATGCATGTATAGACTGTTTTTGTCTTAAGGATGTACCCATCCAATTGTACTTTATTGACTATTTTTAATCAGCAGAGGCTTGATTTCGTCAAGTGCCTTTTCTGAATATGTGAAGATAATCATTTCATTTTTCTCCCTAGTTTTATTTTATGATGGATTATATTAAAAGATTCCCTCCTATCGAACTATCGTTCCCTTGCATTCTGGTATGTTTCACACATTGTCATGACGTATGATTTTTTTTTCAAAGCCCTTACTCTTAACCCCTGGATACTCTGATGGTCCTCCAGAAAGTCCTTTGACTAGTGGTTCTCATGTGGGGGTGACTTTGACTTCCGGGGACATTGACAATGTCCATGACATTTTTGGTTGTCAAAACGGGGGATGCCACTGATATCTGGTGTGTGGAGGTCCATGATGCCACCAAGCATCCCGACATGCACAGAACAGTCTCTATATACAAATGATGATACTGTGGAAGATCATAATGTCAGCAGTGCTGAGATCGGGAAACCCCGCCTTAGGGAGAGACTGCAATAAGTCCGTGGTCGTGACACTTGGTACTTGAAAAGAGAGCTACTGGCTTTGAGAACACAGATGTGTTTCCAGCCAGTGACTGGTTCTAACACCGAGGGTAAAACAAAGATGGCGGGAGGGAGCACAGGCCTTCAGGGACAGGACAGTAGGGCCTAGATTCAGAAGATAGAGACCTTCCTGGTTCTCCTGGTGAGGACTCACAACATACTCCTTGCCTTGCGCTCTTTTTTCAGGTGCAAAAGTTGAAACTCTGGATTGGTGAGTCACAGAAGTGAAAGTGCCAATGACACCAACACAGACATTCACAAAATGGTCTAAACGCAACTCCGGGCACGAATTTACACGCACAGCCCAGGTCTCACCCCTCAGGCAGGAGACGGGATTTGAAAAGACTTCCTAGCTTCCCGACCGGAAAACCCCATCCTCTGAGAAGGGCCCACGCCTGCTCCATCTGGCATGTGCATCTGGAAATGTCAGGATCAATACCGTACTTTAAAAAGTTACCTCCCACTTGGGGTCTCCTTCGTTTCCCACCAACTTCAGGCCATGCTTGTTCTTCAAGTGTCTGTTGAACTCCCACTTGGTGCCATACACAAAGCTGCACACAGGGCACTTCAAACCACCTGAAGGCACAGAGGAAAAAGGAGCGTTGGCAGCACATAAGAGGGCCCCAGTGCGCCTCCCTCCCGCCCCTCAACTCCAGGGAACACACTGTTTGTCTCCGGGACTTACATCCAGTCCCAGCTCCCCTCCGTACTAGAACAGAACAGCGACAGCACAGATGTTTTTCAGGGCAGACATTTCTAAAGCTTAATGTACTTCTTTTCATTTTCCAACGAGCATTTGCAGAAAGTCTAATATATACGTCATATTTTCGGTGCCGGAGTAACAGAACTCCCGTGGCCAAGTGAGTAGGTGGCCTCAACCATTCTTTCATTTTTGTTTTCATTTGAAAATAACAAGTAAGTTAGAAAACAAAAAGAACTGAAGGACAAGGCTGCTTTCCTCAACCGCCTGTGTCCCAAAACATGAACCAAGAGCCAGGCTCCTTCACACCAAAAGCTGAGCCATTTGTATAAATCCCCATTTGGATTTCCCAGTAAAGACCAAGTGAAACGCCGCTATAAAATCTTACACGTGTTGTGGGAGGCGTGGATGCTTTAAGAGCATGTACAGCTCTAGGTAAAAAGACAAACAACAGAAAAAACCCTCAGAGTGACACAAAAGACTATCTTTCTAAAATTCTATCAAGAGCAGCAACTAAATTAGTGACTGGACAAAAATCACTTTTCACAGGCTGTGAATTCAGAAGCAAACTCTAGGGGCGCCTAGGTGGTTCAGTCACGTAAGCGTCCGACTTCGGCTCAGCTCATGATCACACAGTTCGTGAGTCTAAGCCCCGCGCCGGGCTCTGCGCTGACAGCTCGGAGCCCGGAGCCTGCTTCGGATTCTGTGTCTCCCTCTCTCTCTACCCCTCCCCTGCTCACGCTCTGTCTCTCCGTCTCTCCCCAAAATAAACATTTTTTAAAAGTTTTAAAAAACAGAAAAAAGAAGCAAACTCTAGCCTCAGGAACTCTAGCCTCAGAGGGAGTTGTCCCGGCACCAGGTCTCCAAATCCACACAAACGATTAGCAGGATTAGCAGGCCAGAGTCAGGCTACCCACTGGCACCATCAGGCCAGCACCCCAAGCCGAGCCGGGGTGGCGTCATGGGCACAGCTGGTCTTCCTGCAGCCACCGTCGGTCTAGTCTCCACCCCGCACACAGAACGGGCTTTTGAATTTTTTTAAGGTTTATTTTTGAGAGAGAGAAAGTGAGAGAGTGTGGGGGAGGGGCAGAGAGAGAGGGAGACAGAGAATCCCAAGCAAGCCCTGTGCTGACAGCAGAGAGCCTGATGTGGGGCTCGAACCCACAAACCGTGAGATCATGATCTGAGCCGAAGCTGGGACGCTTAACTGACTGAGCCATCCAGGCGCCCACAGAATGGGCTTTTATTTTTTTTTATTTTTTTTTCAACGTTTATTTATTTTTGAGACAGAGAGAGACAGAGCATGAACAGGGGAGGGTCAGAGAGAGGGAGACACAGAATCTGAAACAGATTCCAGGCTCTCAGCTGTCAGCACAGAGCCCGACGCGGGGCTCGAATTCACGGACCGCGAGATCATGACCTGAGCCGAAGTCGGCTGCTTAACCGACTGAGCCACCCAGGCGCCCCCAGAATGGGCGTTTAAAAATAAACTAAATCACATCCCTCATAGGTATAGAACCTTCCATCAGACCCAGAATAAAATCCCAGCTCCAAGAGGTAGCCTGCACGACTTTACTGTCACCCCTGTGTGATCTTATTCCTGCCTTCTCTCTGGCCTTGTCTCCTCCCCACCCTTCCCGCAGTCTCTCCTTTCTCTGTCTCTGGCATTGACCAAGCTCATTCCCTTCTTGGCAAACCTGGTGTCATGGGGTCTACGGCCAGTCCTTCTGCTGCCTCTGTCCCTGTCTCTATCAGACTTGCTGTGCTCTCCTGCACCCGCCCAGGGTCTGAGATTTATTTCTTGCTCACTGGGGTACTGAGGAGGGAGAAGAGGAATTCTGTACTGATGACGAGGCTGTCTTGACAAATTGCATAATAACAGGCAAATCTCATGAAGACGCGGAACGTAATTTAAGCATCTCCCAGATGCAAGTATGATGTGCTTGATTTTCGGAATCAATCCCACGTCAGTGGAATCTGACAGTGTACTCTTCTGTAACTGGGGCTTCCTGTATACAACCTGAGGTGGTGCGTGATTCCCCACACAGTCATGAGCAGAAAAGGAAGCCAACCCAGATGGCCGACAGCGCGTCCCCTCGCGCCTTCAACTCACTGCTTTACAGCCTCGCCATGCTGGGAGGGCGCAGGAGAGCACAGCAGGCCCAACAGAGACAGGACAGAATCAGCAGAAAGACTGGCAACACCAAATTATAAACTTCCAGAACATTCTACAGAGGAGGCAGCTCAAACAGGGGCTTATATTTTCCAAAACTTACATGTTGTGCACTCTTTTTTTAGGCCAAACGAAATGGGCTTATTCTTTCCTACCTAGCTGATAATTAACTTAGATTTTAGCTTCCTTTGTTATCACTTATTAATCATCTAAAATGATGTATTTTCCTAGGATCACCTTTTTTTTTTTTTTTAATTTTTTTAAACGTTTATTTATTTTTGAGACAGGGAGAGACAGAGCATGAACGGGGGAGGGGCAGAGAGAGAGGGAGACACAGAATCGGAAGCAGGCTCCAGGCTCTGAGCCATCAGCCCAGAGCCTGACGCGGGGCTCGAACCCACGGACTGCGAGATCGTGACCTGAGCTGAAGTCGGACGCCCAACCGACTGAGCCACCCAGGCGCCCCAGGATCACCTTTTTTAAAGCTCTCCAAGATGTGAGAACCTCTGCCTTTTTTCAGTTGGTTCAAGTGAGATAGGTCCTCCTATAGAGACTTAGCAAGAGGCAGCGAACAAAAGCGACCTAAACGGAATTAAAGACTCCTTCCGGGGTGCTCTTAAATGGAAACTAATTTAAGGAGAAAAAAATCCTTATATTATGTTTAAATTAAAATTAATATGCTAATGCCCCACATTAATTAAAACCTCAACCTTTGCCACATTGCCCTTAATTAAAGAACAATACATTGGGAGCATGTGACCCAGACTAAATGCAGAATGCGACCACTTAAATGGCATCAAAGCCGAGAGAAATTAATTTCCAGTTCAATTCATTGCATTCTTAGGCAATGCACAATAAAGGTCATGGGAGATGTGGCAAATTTACTTGTGGCCCTGGTATATAAAATGCACACCATAAGAACGGCCAACCCCAAAATTGCAGTTTCCTCAGAAGGCGTGATGAACCAGGCAAGAGCACAGGACGTCAGGAACAATTTTAAAAATCGATCATGGCACCTTTGCTCTTTTTGGAATGCAATGTATTCTGGAAGAGTCTTAGGCATTAAAATATCTGCGCTCCTTTGTGGTGGGTGACCTTATTGAAAATTCAATTTCATCTCCAATAACATTACTCTCCCAGGGTGGTGCGGAACGTGAGGCTGGGCAGTCAGGTACCTGGAGCTGGCACTGACATGACCCAGGAGCCACTTCCTGAAACTCCCGGGCCTTTGTTTTCTCCAAGATGAAATGCTAAAGCTCGTAACTTTAACAAAGGCACTCCGGTAGACAGAATAACGGACGCCCAGAGATATTCACATCCTGGAGGGAAGGGGATCCTTGTGCACTACTGGTGGGAATGTAAACTCCGCCATGCTGGAAAGCAGTATGGAGGTTCCTCAAAAAGTTAAAAATACAACCACCCTATGATACAGCCATCCCGCTGCTGGGTTTGTATGGAAAGGTAATGAAAACAGAGTATCAAAGCAGTATCTGCAATCTCATGTTCACTGCAGCATTATTTACAATAGCCAAGATATGACCACAACCTGTGCCCATCAGTAGACACGTGGGTAAAGAAGATGTAGTGTATACACACACACACACACACACACACACACAGAGAGAGAGAGAGAGAGAGAGAGAGAGAGGAATATTAGTAAGCCATGAGAAGGAAGGAAACCCTGCCAGTTTTGACAACATGGATGGACCCTGAGAGCATTACGCTAAGTGAAATGAGTCAGACAGAGAAAGATAAATACCGTATGATTTCACTTATAGGGGGAATCAAAAACAAAAACCAAAAAAGTCAGACTCATAGAAACACACTAGAAAAGTGGTTGCCGGGAGCGGGGGACCACGGGAGACAGGGAGAGGCTGGTAAGAGAGTGCACGCTGGCAGTTATAAGATGATAAGATGATTAAGGTCTGAGGGTCTGATGTGAAATGCGGTAACCACGGCTGATAGCTGAAGTTTGGTAAGAGAGTAGAACTTACACATTCTCAACAAGAGCCAAAGGATTAGTGTGTGAGGTGATGAATGTGTCAGCCGACTGGATGATGAGAATCCTAAGTATCTTACAGCTTTGTGAACGATACCTCAGTAAAGCTGGGAAAGAAAAAAAAAAAGCAGTGGGGACCTGTTTGTAAACTGGATTAGGCCCCAGGGGCACTGTGAGCCCACACTAAACAGGTGGGGGTCCTGGCCCCCAGGAGCTGACGGTCTGGAATGGAATGTGCCTGGATACACAACAAAGACAGGTGTGTGAGGTTTTCATTACAATGAAAAATAAATAAACACAGAGAAAGAAAAAAGCAAGGTTCACATCCTGATCCCTGCAACATGGGAGGGTCACCTCGTGTGGCAAGAAGGGCCTTTGAGGTCGTGATTCATCAAGGCTCCTGAGACAGGGAGATCAGCGTGGATTATTCAGGCGGGACTAATGGAATCACAAGGGTCCTCCTGTAGAAGAGGCACAAGGGAGGTCACAGAGAAGCCTCTACTGTCACTGGCGGCCGTGATAGGGGAAGAAGGAAGGGGCTGAGGCAAGGAACGTGAGCCGCCTCTAGCAGCTGGAACAGGCAAGAGAACAGGCTTTCCTCTGGAGATTCCAGAAGGAATACATACGTGTTAGCAAACTTGACCTGAGCCTGTGACACCTATCTTGGACTTCTAACCTTCAGAACCTTAAGATAATCAATCTGTGTTGCTTTAACCCACCAGTAAGTTTGTGGCCATTTGTCACAGCTGCGGTAAGAAACTGATACAAGCAGCTAGACAGTAACTGTGACAAATGAGCTTAATTATCAAAGGAAACTGGATACAGAGCAATGTGATGATACAATATTAGGAAGCAAAATGTGGACCCGGACTTTGTTAAAATCCCCACTTCTTGCTGTCTCTTAATCCAGTGCCTGTCCTGAGACCCGGCAGAGCCCCAGCCCAGAACGAGGAAACGCGCCCAGGACAGCAATCTAGTGGAAATCCTATGCAAGCATGACATGGAGGCCCCTGGTCACACAGCATGCTGTCAGAACACTACCTGGATCTCTCTCAAACCCCAGATCAGCAGATCAGCAGCTAGATCAGCAACTAGACCTGGAGACAAAAAAACTCAGAAAGAGTAAACGGCAGCCTGTGTGTGCGAGACCCTCTGACACAGGATCATGTGACCACTATGGAATGCGAGCCAATCACTGTCCCAGAACAGGACCATATGCTTCCTCCTCCTCTTCCTCCTTAACAAGTACAAACGTGAGACAAGCTTCAGGGGGGACCGGCCGGGCCCTCGCCCACTTTGTGGCCTGGGCTGACCACTCTCCCACCCGTGTTTCCTCTCTTGAAAACAGGAATGACGATGCCGACCTCACAGGGCCTCTGAGAGAGAAAGGAATGCAGAGCAATAACACGGTGCGATGACATCACATCACTGGAAGCACCTGCCAGTCAGGTATGGAATCTGGGCCCTAATAAAAACAATTTTAAAATTAAAATGTCTCCAAATCAAATCAATGACTTTTGTGTAACCTGGTAGTTTCTGGATTTTCTTCTATGCTATTTGCCCTGGATTTGGTGTGAAAAGCCAAGGTATGGATATATATCCAAGGTGCGTATGCATATACTTTTACACTCTTCTATTAGGGTAGTTCAAAATCACGCCAAGATTTTAGCAGATGCTGCAAACGCAGCCATCTCCTCGAGCCCTGCTCTTCACACTGCCCCTCATCCCAACCGCCACCCCAGCCTCAATGACCCTCGAACAGTGGGGCCGGGGAGAAGGGTCAGCACCACAGAGAAGCAGCGAATTCTCCTCCTGTGAGCAGCGTGGGTAACTGTTGGAAGGAACACGCATTCTGTTACAGCCAGAACACGGGGCCTTGGAGGAGCTTCCCAGCCTTCGTCCGCAGCCCAGGCCACAACACGATAAAGGCCACCACATCCCAGGGTCCAGCACAATGTCGGGCACACTAGGAGCACAAGAGACACATGGTGACCAAGGAACGTGGGAATAAACACGACAGTCAATCTGAACCATTTATCAAGCACTATGTGTCAGGCACCTCCTGGGACCTTAGAGAGTGAGATCTAATCTCTACAACTGCTGTTGAGCAGTATCAGCACCTCGTCTTCGAAGACACGTAACACGACATTCAGAGAAGTTAAGCGAGTCGTCCCAGCGCCACGGCGATCGGCCACCCCAGCTCCGGCCCCGGACTCCCATGCCTGTGCTCATGCCAATAACCTGGAGTGACCTGGAGTGACCTGCGGGGCCGCTCTGAGGTCACTGGGAAGTAAGCAGCCTGCCAGTCCCACCTGTGTCCTGCGGTGAGCTCAGGACGGAGCTAACGGCCTGTGAAGCGAAGCCAGCCCCCAGTCCGAGACCTAGGGAAGCGGCCCCTGAGCTACTAACTCAGGCAGATTCCGAGAGGAAACAGGGCCGGGCCCGCTGCAGCCACACGACGTGAGAACGTGTGTTTGTGTGGGAAAATGCCTCATGTCCATATTAACGAACAAGCGACGGGCTAAGAAAATTAGCAAGAGATTGTCCAATCTGCCTTCGAAGTATCAGAAGGACACCAAATATAAGCAGGGAGTAGTAACACATCGACACGGCCTTCCGGGCAAGTCTCATTACCGAAACGCACCAGAGTTCTCAGGGGACTGTGGGTCCCAAAGGGGTGCCATCGTCACCCCTGTGCCCTGGGGACCAGTGGCGGGCGGGAGCCAGCTGCCACCAGCTCGCAAGCCGCTGTGCGCATCTCTGTCCAGGTCAGTGACATCACACTGATAGCTTAAAATTGGCCACAGCACAACCATTTCCACTACAGAAGCTGGCGAATGCTGTAAACCAGCTTCCCTTCTCCCTGCCCCTGAGACAGCCCGTTGGTAAACATTTACAGAACACGATGGGTGGACGCCCGAGCAGCCGCCACTCCAGAGGCCTTTGGGAGCCCACTGAAAATCACCCCGACTCCACAGAGACCACCGGGGAACCTTCCCCCAGAAACCGGCAAGGAACAGAAATGTCTGACCTGGAAACATCTCTGCCTTTTAGGCCTTTCTCCCTACCTCCTGCACAGTGCCACGCGTGGACATCCTTCCCAAATCCCTGAGCATCATGGGTAAGAGAACCTTTGCCCACAGCTGATGGCTTTGCCTGTGTCACAGTGTGGCACTGCTTACGCTGGGCTGATGGACAAGGAGTCCCTTCCCCTGTGGGGAAGCCGTAACACCACTCTGAGAAGGGTACATTTTGTTCACAGCTTGTTGTCACGTTACTCTAACACATATTTCTCTATGCCAAAACAAGAAGTCAGTAAGTCCCATGAAGATATTTTTTGATGAGGGACTAGAAGAAAAAAACAAAACCAAGTGTGGGGGGTGGGGAGAGGTTGGGGAGAATTTTGTGAAATTGATCAAATAGACGATGACAATTTCCAGTGGTGCCCGAGCACCCAGCGTTCCGAACACAGCAACTGTGTGCATCCCGTGTTGTCCCTCCGTGTCCCTGCCTGCTCTCAGACAGAGGAACAATGGGAGCATCGTGCTCTTAAAGATCCTAACCTGTGTTCACACTCAACCAGCGATCTCATTTCAGAGACTATTCTCCCGCCAAAATACAATGGTGTAATGTCTCTTATGAGCCAAGAGAGGCATCTAGTTGTTTCCTTCCTCAGCTTGTCCCTTGAAGGGGGCACTGGAAATATGTGTGTGTGTGTGTGTACATATGTACGTGTGTGTGTGTGTATATATATATATACACACACACACATATGTACACACATACACATATATACATATATGTATACGCATGTATTATGTATATATGAAGACACCAAAAATGCCCCTGCGAAGATAAAAATTAAAACCCGGCAGACCCTGTCAGGGAATGCCAACGGATGACAGAGCGTCTCAGAAAGGTAACTGAAAACGTAGGGCAGGAAACAGTTCGGCACCGGCACATTCTCCGCAAGGCAATGATGAAAGTTTGGAAGCAGAGAGCAGTGATAGTGTCATCAATCAGAGCCCCACGCCTGTCCCAACAGCCGCAGTAAAGGTCTATCTCCTGCCAATCCAACCCAACAGCGCGAAGGATAATAAAAGGAATGTCTAGCCTGCTTTTCGAGCAATCTGCTGTGACTCTAAGGCAATCGGTTCTCTCCTCTGTGATTCCTGGACCGGGGCAGGAGGGGCGGGGTGGGGGGCGGGGGGCATCAAAAATGATGCAATGGCTCTAGAGCTCTAGAGGGCGTAGATGTTTTCAGGAAAAAGGAAACAAGTACGAAAATGGATTGCGTGCCACTCAGGTGCTCGCTCAGGTAACCCCGTCCGCCTCGAGGAGAGAAGGCTGCTATCGACTCCATTCTCAGGTGAAGGGCCTGAGCTGGAGAGGCTGGTTAACGTGCCCTGATGGCACCACTCAAGGAGCAGAGCACAGACTCGAGCCAGGGCCCCTGCACCCCCCACGGCACCATCCCGGTCTCCAGCTCTACGAAACGGTCATTAAAACACGAGGCACACACTCCCCGTTACCCCTGATGGATGGCTCTAAAATTATCCTGAGTTTTTATGCCGTTATCTACCTCCATACATCAGCCCTGTCACTGAAAGTGCTGAAGGATTCGGTCAATTCATTTGTTTTATATGAAGATTCATTCAAGGCAATCCCAGTGAGGGGGGACTTCGCGCCGCACCGGAAACCTCGGAGCGCCCGCACCTGCAGCCGGGAGCGCCAGCCCGCATCTCTGTTCACTGGGGGCAGGTTTCTAAAACGGTCTCTGGCTTCAAAGAGTCACAGGACTCAGGAAGTAGTAAAAACTGATGGACTGTGTGCGGCAATCATTTTTTTAGTTGAATTACTGAGGCACGGATATAAATACAGCAGCACTTCTCTGTATGGCAACAGCTCATGAGCTCAGCCTTCTCAAGTGGGAATATGCGATCATTTACTGAAAAAAGCAGCAAAAATTAAAAAAAAAAAAAACCTCTCAGGCTTTTCAAGAATATGAGAGGTTTGTATCCATTCTGTTCAGTTTAAATGCTCTAAATGGTTTATCCTTTTCAGGATGAATAAGCAATCTGAGCACTCAATAAATATTTCTGGATAATCTAAAGAAGCTCACCTACAAATACGCTTGCCACGGCATGATTCATAATTGCCACAAAAGAGGAATCTGGAAACCCTACCATGTCCAACAGGAGCAGGGCGAAACAAAATGGGCCACCTGATGCTGGACCACAAACAGCCCTTGGAAGTTATACTGAGGGAGACAACAGAACGTGCACGTGAGCAGGAACTTGCATGCAGGAGGAAGGTACACGGACCAAGAACAGAAGGCAGCCAGCGCTGGCAAGTGAACGTCGTGGGGAGGGTGGTAAATTAGGATTCCTCATCCTGGATTTCCACGGAGGCAGCAAGTAACGCCGGGACATACCAACGGGGGACGTGGAGCACAGTCATGACGACGGGGAACTAACAAAATGCTCAGGGGTCGGGGCTGAGCTGCAAGACGTCCCAGCTCCTCTCAAGGGGCACACTGCCTACCTTGCTGGACGAGTGCGTCGGCCGCCAGCTCCCCGGTGCCCACGTTGGCGTATTCCTCGTTGGGGTGCTTCCTGTTGTAGTGCCGTTTCAGGGAGCCGGATATGTTACAGGAGTAATGGCAGTGGGCACAGCGGAAGGGCTGTAGGGACAAGGACTGAAGGTGAGCCCCAGGGGAGGTCGAGCCCCAAGCGGAAGGGGCGCAACTTGCCCCAATGTCCTCCTCCACCGACCCCCCCACCCCGGGGTGTCTGACACCCCCAAAGCCTGATGAGCAGGCTGCCCCCTAGGATGCGCTCCAGGGAAAAACACAATGTCGGGATGCTGAGTCCTGCCTCAGCGGGGACCAAGCAAGTCATTGCACAAGGTGTCCCCTGGGTAGGAAGGGTCTGTGCTCAAGGTGGTTGCTTTCATTTCTCATTTTGTCCACTTCTTGTCCAAGAAGAAAATAACATAAGAGGAACACAGCAATCTATCATTTTCCTTTTTTTTTTTTTTTTTTTTTTAAAGTGAATGTCTTCCGGGGCACCTGGGTGGCTCATTTGGTTGAGCATCTGACTCTTGATTTTGGTTCAGGTCATGATCTCACGGTTGTAAGATCGAGGCTTGTGTCGGGCTCTGTGTGCGGAGCCTGAAGTCTGCCTGAGATTCTCTTTCTCCCTCTCTGCCCCTCCCCTGTCTGTGCTTTCTCTCTCTCTCTCATAAATAAACATTCATTTTTTTTTTATTTTTTTAAATGTTTGTTTATTTTTGAGAGAGAGAGACAGAATACAAGGATGGGAGGGGCCGAGAGACAGAGACACAGAATCCGAAGCAGGCTCCAGGCTCCGAGCTGTCAGCACAGAGCCTGACACGGGGCTCGAACTCATGAGCCGTGAGATCATGACCTGAGCTGAGGTCGGACGCTTAACTGACTGAGCCACCCAGGCGCCCCAAAATAAACAAACATTTAAAAAATAAAATACAATAAAATAAAGTGAATGTCTTTCAAAGTAGCTCCCCTCACAATTAATTCCCTGATGTACCTGCTTCTCCAAGTCACTTTCTCCACAGGACTCACCTGCAAGCACGTGCACAGATGCAGGCATCAACCCACAGCTGTCCCCCATTAGGGAAATCCACCTGGTAAATGTATTTCCAGCCCCCACCTGGGCAGGATGAGGCACTTTCAAGATAAGGACGCAAGGGGTCATGCGGCCTGGCTCCCACCTTGCATACTGCTTTGAGGGGTCCAGAATGAGCGGTGAGGAGGAAAGGGGTGCCTGCTCAAGCCCCTTAGGGAACCCAGTGAGGCCATGCCATCGGCAGAGTGAAGGATGGACGTCTGGATCACTGTTCCATACCCCGCCCTGACGCACAGGCAAGACAGTATCAGTATCCCTCTGAACCGTGAGCCCTACAACTGTCCGGCAGAATGCCACGTGAATCCCCAATGTGCATTCAGGGCCCATCTGGGAACACAAGCAGCTCGCTGGCCTGGCAGAAACAGGAGAGAGGGAGCAGCCCATGGTGGTAGGAGCTCTGGGAACAGTCCGGGGGATCCGGATGGGACAACGGGAAATGCCGGCTTTCCCTGAGCTCTGTCCAGGGCCTGTCTGCTCTCCTGCGGTGGACCCAGCGATCAGTCTGACAGCGTGATATATATCCTGTTGCGATCGTGCCCAGACCACAAACAGGGATGTCCAACTGTCTTCCCGGTTATCTCTACGGGGATGCTCTGCAGGCACCTCAGAATAAACGCACACAATTTCAGACTCTTCTTTCTGCAAAATCAGCTCATCACCCAAAGGCAGACCCCTGAGTGTCACCCTAGACCTTTTCTTTTCTCTTACTATTCGCCTAATTACTGAGTCTGGTCCAGGCTTCCTCGGAAACCTCTCCAGAATTCGCTCCTGCTCCTTTCTGTCCCAGCAGCACATAGCAAGGGGCCATCCCGGCCTATAAAGCAAATGCTGTTACCCCCACGAGGGCCATTCTTGGACAGAAAGACCCACGGAAGTCAATCCAGTGAGAAAACCTGAAACGTTCCCTCCACCCTACGCAAGGCCACTCTGTGGTCATAGGATGCTCTGGGCCACACTGCATGTGCTACATTCAGTCCCTTGTGCAAGAAAACCCTGTGGCTTGGCCCACAAGGATTTATTAAACAAAAAGACCCGGAACAAAGGCAAAAATTAGCCAGGCTCTCTCATCCGTCTACTGAGCAGAGAACAAGCAATCTAAAATGCCACTGTGTCATTATTTGCAGAGTTAAAATAGAAGCTAAAACATTTTCAAATGCTTTCATCTCCTAAATATGCAAACGTTATAAAATTACTTTTGGAACACTAGCACTTACATAGAAATCAGAAAGAACAATCGAAAAATACTCTATTACCAGGGCTGAGTGGTCAGTGGGCATAAGAGGCAGGAAGGGGCAACTACAGAAATGGTCCTGTGGACCTAACTCCATGCCCCAGAGCCAATTTCGCCCTTCGTGGGGCCAAGCGGGTTAACTTCCCCGTGAGAGTTTCAACTTGTATTCCCATGCCCACTCCTCGACAGAACTGCAAATGAGGAGAAAAACGGCCAAGACGTGAGCAGACAGGCCAAAAAATGTACAGGTAGGCCCACCTGTGACTGACTGACCACCAATTTCTACCCAAAATCTTCAATTCTTAAAGCTGAAAGAGACGCTTTCAGAGGCTAACCAACCTTCACTCCACGAGGGCACGTTCTCATGTGGCCTCTGGCAGGCCGTGATCGTAGCCACTGGAAGATGCGGGGAGGTGAGAAGCCGCTCAGCTGCTCGACGGCACCAGGGGGTTAGAAAGATCTGTCCCCCTGTGGCCTCGTACCCTCAGTGCCCTTCCACTGTGTCAGGCCCCCCGCAACCTCTCGGTGACATCAATCACCAGTGAACCTCCGTTCGGCATCTTCTCCCTACAACTGCGGTCACTGGGCCGCATCTGGGCCCTTCCAACAAAGCAAGTTCAGACCTATGAGGAGGTGCTGCCGCTTGTCAGCAGGGCATTCTGCTGGGGCTGTCGCAGGGCTGGGGACAAAGGCGGAGGAGAGGGCACGTGACATCTCTACGTCCACGGCCAGACACCAAGTCTGACTGCATTACTAATACTCCAAGTCTTGAGGTTTCAGTGGTGAAGCATGTACTCACTGACCACCTTCGGGAAGTAGGTGGAACTGTGCTCCACCCTGGACAGAGAGTGATGGACAGAGAGATCTGTGATCCTCTGAATCCACACGAGTTCGGAGACATAGATGCTATCTGGGCAAGAAAATCAGAAAACTCGGGGTCTAAGTCAGACGTTGGTAGTTGGCAAGGGACAGCAGATCTTCAAAGGGAAGTTCTTTATCGAGAGCTTTCGGGCCCAAAGACGCCCCAAAGTCAGGAGGAACATAGAAGCAGCTACAGCAGTGGAGTTCGTGTAAAACAAAACATCCACATTCTTACTGTGGCCAAAAACTAAACTGAATCACCAGCGAGGCATTCCTGCTATTCAGGGTTACACTGGAGTTATTAAGAAACTCAATCAAGCATAATAACTATTACAGTTTTACCTACCACAGCCCAGGTAGTTCTCAGTGTTTTGCAGGGATGAATTCCTAGAAGTCTCAGAACCACCTAATATGCTAGGTACAATTATTATCCCCATCTTACAGATAAGAAACTGCAGTCCAGTTACGGAATCCACCAAAAGTGTCACACGTTCCCAGCCTGACCAGTTGGTCTGCACTGGATTTGGGGATCCAGGCCCCGCCAGCAACAAAGAGATGACTTGACTTCCCATTTGCCATTATTTCCTGAACAACCAGGTCCCCTGGGAGCTCCATCAGGGCAGGCATGGATCTCCCGGACATAAAAAAGCCCAGACCTAACCAACAACTCCTAAAAACGAGGAGCATCCAGTGGGCTGGGAGAACTGTAGGCAGTTTTTGGAGCACCATAATGGGGGAGGGACTTCTGGGGGTTGAGAAGACGGCAGGAGACAGTCGCCAGATCACAGGGGGACATGCCAGCAACGTGGCTTCAGGAACACATGTCTCCACCAGGTTTCTTCACACCTAGAATTAACCATTCTGGAAACTGATGGAAGGTGGATTTGAAAGGAACAAGACTGGAGGCAGGGAACACGTGTCCAGTTGTGGCTAGAGGTGCACACAAGAGACACAGATACATCTATAATACACACATATGGATTATAGATTATGTGTCTTTACACAGGTATGTATGTATATTATAGATATACGATACAGATATTTGTATAAGCCCTAAAATGAGAGCATGGCACAAGGAAGTGGAAAGTGAAGACAGGCTTTAAGAGAGATGGGGGAGGTAAAACCAGCCAGACCCAGTGACTCAGAAGCAGTGTGAAAAAAGGAAGGTGGGCCCCCAGGATGACCCCAAGTCTCCAGCAAGGAAGACACAAGAGGAAGGCATTGCACCAGCTGTGGAGGGAGTTCTATGGATGAGGAGAAAGAGGGGTGTGAGTACAGACCTCTGGATACCCAAGAGTATCCAGATGGATACTGGATGTGGGCCAGTATCCAGAAAGAGGGCCAGTCAAGGAGAGAAGGCGAGGGGCAGAAGCTGGGTTTGGGGTCATGTTTCAATGATGTTTTATAAGTCTTTCTCAAAGGGTGCACCAAAGATCAGCTATCTGAGTTGAAAGACAAAGGGCGGTTGACTTGGTGGAGCCTGAAATCGATGTTCTCAGACTTACATCAGGGAAGTAGGTAAAAGACACTTTTTCACAACTGGAGGATTTATGGTTCTGGTTCCTCAAACAGACAGGGACAGGAAGTCCCAACTCACTTGTGAAACTGGGCTCGGAGAAACCAATTAGAAGGCATCTAACTGCATGCAAGCGAGGCCAATCTAACTTCCCGTCAGCACCAAGAGGAATGTTTTAAAACAGATGAGAAGCTGGCGATGAGGTGATGTCCCAGGTGGTAACACTGGTAACCAGCTGCAAAGCCCAGGATAGCTTTCGGGTGGAGTAGAGGGTGCCCTGCTGGCCCGGCAGGCAGGAAGGCCCTCGCCACGCGAGCTCCCGCTGTGGTCTGGGTAACCAAGGACGGCAGATGGCCGTGCAGCTATGTCAAAAGGCTCAGGGATGGAGATGTGAGCCTGGCCCTTGAGTT